CCCCCCCCCCGGTCTGTGCTTTAGGGCATTTACTTTGTTGTTTTTGATATGTTGCTTTTTTGTTTTGGTTTGGTTGTTTCAACTTCTAGGTTTTGCTTCTATTGGCTCATTTGTGATAGACTTTTGACTCATTCAAAGGGGGCCAAAAACTAAAGAAAAAAGAGGAATACAACATTTATATTAATCAGTTATATATCCAATAATGACCCCTGACACTTTAGGCACAAATTCTGTGAAACTCAGCCTCTCTTAAGAAAACAAATAGTCTCAATTTTCTACAGTGGAACTGCTTTTAACCATATTTAGAGCAAGAGGACAAGGTAATATTGGAAGTGTTTATATTCTTTCTTTTCTCCTTTTCACTTAAATGTATCTCTTAAATACATCTTTATGTTCTTGCTCCTTTAAGAGCCTTTTTTTTAAATTTGTAAAATATCACCCCTCCCTCCTGTTCCACGTGTCTAATCCCCTCTTAGGGCATTTAAGAGACTATATAATCTTACCAGTCATACGCATTCAGGTGGATACACAAGCAAAAGCTATACATAGGTAACATCAGATGGGAACTAGAAAAGTCAACTCCTTATGAACTTTCTGAGGTTTGGCTACAGAATATAGGAATTGAAAGCCAAAGATATCTGTATTTTACTCTTTAAGTTAATTATCCATCCTCCCAGTACCTCGTATTGCTCTGGATTAAGGATAAGCAAGCTCAGCATACAGAATAGCATAAAATCTATCTGATTATGTGAGATTGCTGCTTAGTATCTTACTTTATACCAGAAATCAGATTATAATGTTGGAGAGATGTGGTTTGCAGTGTCAACCCATTCAAGGTTCAATGTAGTAGTTCTGACATTTCTTCGAATATTCTTTGCGTCATTGTAACCTGCCAATGGAATTCCTGACTAATGTTCATTTCATATTAGAGACCTCAATTGTAAAGTGGCCTTGCTGCCTGGCAAGCTACTGCCACTCTCTTTGTTTAAAGTGTACTCACAGAAATGTGCACATGTACATTTTCCAGAGTGATATACAAGTTGTTATCATTTACTGCGCAAAGGTCTAGGAGACGAAGAGTGTGCTAAATCATCAACGGCAGGGAAAAATGCAATATATTCCCCGCGCAAAGCTAGAATACATGCTATATTGCTTGCTGAGGTTTTCCCTAAATAAAAATTATCTTCTGTACATTTTTGTGGAGGTTTTGACCAATATTGTCCCTTATCTTTGAGGGTAGGTCTATTTTGGTCCCTCAAATTTAACCCTAAGCATATTTAGTCCCTTAAGTATGCTAAAGTGGAGCACCTTTAGCCTCACTGACAGTATGTGTTCAAAAACTAACGGTGTTAACCAACTCTATTCATGAAGCAAATCTTCTGCTCTGAAGCAAAACGTTTCCGCTCCTTTTATTGGATAACACAAATTATCACTTTAATTCCTCATTTTTAGATAATGTCTTCTAAAATTTTGACGTTGAAAATATCCCCTTCTGTGCTAGTTTTCAATGAGAAAATTACACTATATAGCCGCCGTAAAAATAATAGGCGAAAAAATGTATAAAATTTGTATATTAATTTGTACATATATACATTTTGTATGTTGATATACAAAACTTATACAAATTTTATATACTTTTTCGGTACTAAATGTAAATGGTTTCTGGCGCGGGCTAAAAGTGATAATACAATCTGGTTATTCGTTTGCTTCAATAGTATGCCTAGAAGTGATCTTGGCAGTACTATTTTTTTCAAATTTTAACTTTTCTATTTTTGGAAAAATCAATCAGACATTTTTTAAAGTAAAAGTTTCAACGTTAAAATCTTAAATTTATTAGCTCTGTACTATTAGTGGGTGTTGGGATAAGTAAATTAACAAGACGGTGAGTGCCGAAACCAACCCCGTAATTGATCTTAGACAGATTCTGTCAGTGAGACTAAAGGTGCTCCACTTCGGCATACTTAAGGGACTAAATATGCTCAGGGTTATATTTGAGGGACCAAAATAGACCTACCCTCAAAGATAAGGGACAATATTGGCCAAAAACTCCGATTTTTGTGCGATCTATTGGCTCATTGGAAATTGTGTGCTTCACTCAGAGCAAACAAATGGCAGGAGTTTGAGTTAATGTGTCATTTCTCCCTAGTGGTGTCCTGATTATTGAAAAGGTCCTGCCTGTATAAGGTATGTGAAATTAACGATTCAAAGGTGTGCAAGGGGATGAAGTCATTTATTTATCTGATTCATTCAAGGGTATGGATATCATGTGTCTATTATTTGGAAGCTGTTTATGTCTCCAATTTTATAAGATGTCCCCAAAGGATTATGGAGGCTGTTTATCTGCAAATGCTCAATGGCTGAATGTACTACTTTATATGTATCTGGTGCCTTGGAAGAAAAGAATGAATATGCCCAGTGTTTATAGCTGACAAAAAGAAACTTTTCAAGTGTACCTTAAAAGATATAATTCCTAAGCTACAAGCAAGCTATGCTTTCCCTGATACGTGAATTCTTTCTAAGGGTGCTCCTTTAATTTCACTTAATATTAATATACCCTATTTTGGTCACAATGCTTAAACTCAGAAATTATCAGCAACCAAATGTTATGGTTTGGTGCAATATTTACTATAGACTAGATTTATAAATAATTTACATATTGCTCCGAGGATTTGAGAACGACAAGATGATTCAATCTTTTTCTGCAGGCAGTTAATGCAGATTCTTTGCCCGAGTTAAGAAGTGAGCTTGGGAACCAGTTGGCTGTTAGAAGTCGTAATATGAAGTTGAGGTTTGTACTTCCCTGCTTCTTGTGTGTTTCAGTTTCTATGATGCCTTATTTCTTTTTTTTCATGCCTTATTTCTTTTCTTTTCCTCCTTTCCGACCATCTCTCTGTATCTTGTGATGCATTGCTCATTATATGAGTTTGACATAAGGTTAATATAATTAATTGCCTATCTTATAGTTGAAGCAAGCACTTTTGATTTCATGAACATACTTTATTCAAAGAAATTGGATGATGTAAATGCACTTTTCGGTTTATTGAAATATATCACCTTATCTAAAAGCTTAAGTTGGTAGAAAGATGATATGTTTTTTTTTTTTAATTATGTCTTAACATGCTTCCTGAGTGAAGCTTGATATTTTTCTTGGGTCAAGCACGTGGAAATTTTTGATAGTAGGTAGCGGTGAGACTTGAATCAGGATCTCTACCTGCGCTCATACTATGTTGAAGTACGCGATCACCTCATTTAGAAGCTAAATTGGTTGGATAGAGGACACTTTTAGTTATGTGATAAGTTCTTAACAGTATGTAGTTGTCTAAAGCTATGAAAAGACACCTTTTTGCATCACGAAGGTGCAAATTTGTTTTGCTCATGCCACTCATTTCATTTATAGGTTGGAAGTTGGATTAATGGGGTTTGTGTCAGAAAACAGTAAGGGTTTTACCTTGAAAACTAGATCTCAGGAGGTTACTTCAAATATACTTGTAACCTGAACCAGTATTGCTAGTTGCACTTTTCTGTTTCTGTTTTTATATTTTCCTTTGGTAGGTTGGTCGTTGAAAGATCTAAATGAGCTGCCATGTGTATTAGGCGAATGAAGAGTTCTCGTAACGTAATAAGCAGAACTTGGAATATTAGAGAGTACAAAGCAGTGTGGTGTTACTCTCTTGACATAAGATGATTGTAGTTGGACAGTGTTTACAAATTTTAGCATTTGGCCCAGTTCATTGGTAGAAATTCAGATTGACGTGACTTATTATTCTGGCATAGTATATAGAAGAATTCCTATATAACTGAAGGCTGAATAGATCTGTTTTGACTTACATAAAGTTGAGGACTTGCTGAAGAAAGTTGAAAGAGCAGCAATTTGAGTATTTGACCCCAAAGATGTTCATGGATCAATAGATTTATTTTTGATTTGCATGAAGTTGAGGACTTGCTTAAGAAAGTTGGGAGGGCAGCTGTTTCAAGTTTTTTGACAAGTGAAGGACAATAAGCTGTTGAAAAATTTTGGAGGGTATATGCAAAATATAGAGTTGGACAATCCAAGAAAGTACGCTGAATATAATTTTCTAGGGATAGTGAGAAAATGAAAGAATGAGTTGATGCTGTTGAGTAAGCATGCTGCAAAGAGAAGTCCTAGAATGCTGTAATTCTGGGAGATGGTCAGGAACAGTGTGAACTTCTGTATGAATCTTGTGTTAGTGTGTAGGAGAGAAGTAGAAAGGGACGTTACAAGAACTATAACAGAGAGAAGTTAAATTCTCTGAAAATTTCTGGTTTGCTTTTTCCTTAAAAAAAGGTCTTCGGTAGTTCTAACTTTGATAAAAATGTTCTTCATTACCACTGCACCTAATACCTACCAAGACTTGATTACTGTGTATATATGGTATAGGGCGAGTGACAAAGTTTGCATCAATGTCGCTCGGTCCTATAGCTCCAAAAGAGTGGATGATCATGAATTCATGATATGATGATGACAGAAGAAATTTTAAAGAACGATAACTTGAACTAATTTTAAAGAAAAATAGTCATGGTTTCTTCTTGAACCATACTTTGAATTTCGACAATCATGTCATTTCACGAAGCTTCAAAATCAAGCTAGCAATGATCATTAATCTTATTTTATTAATTGCCGAGTGATGCTTGTAGAAATAATACTTCATTGTTCTCGTGGACTGTATGTCAGGGGGATTGGAGCTGTTGTTTATAAGGTACCGGAGCTTGAAAATGATCAAATGTTAAAAGTTAGCCTGAGGAGCATTGGTGATGAGGATACAACATCTATCTCTCAGGTTCTTAGGGTCTTCTTGCCTTGTTTGCTTTTCATGTCTTTCATTGAGTAATAAAATATAGTTTGACGTCATATATAATGTATTTCTTGGGATTTTGCAGGCATTTGGTGGTGGTGGGCATCAAAATGCCAGTTCATTGATGTTAAACTCAGCTGAGTTTGAGAATTGGAAGGTTTCCAATAGAACTTCGACATAGGTGAAATATTACCCTGAATGTTTTGAAATACCAGATCTAACTGATGTTTGACCCTTTGTCTTGGCTATTTACTGTCTGGCAACTAGGTCTTAGGAAATGCGAGCAGTCAAAATCGAATAAGCCAGAGCCTACCCATGTTGCACTTTTTTTCCATCTGTGCACATGATCCCTACTAGCTATCTGCATACATCTTTTGTCCCATGACAATGGAAGTAGCATAATGCAGTCTTGGCTGCTAATGCAGTGGGGATTTATAGGATTGCTTGTTCATGCTAGAGCTAGACTTCAAACCTTCTACTGGTGTCAGTCTTAGAGTCAAAGGTGGTCAATATAGCTCTCTGTTTTATGTAAAAGCTTTGCCCGTGTGACGTGCTGTGACAACCTCCCTGATCTAAAAGAATGTGGAGCACTTGCTATACTATTTACTGCTGATGAATTGGAATTAGTTGAATTCTAGAGAATCATCCTTTTGTGTAGTGGGATCTACTTTTGCAAGGCATGCAGTGGTCCAGTCCTCTGGTGGTTTTCTTTTGGACCGAAATGGACAATTTTTTATTGATTGCCAGATGATAAAACATAGAGAAACTAAGAATGCTGAGCATCTTCTCACGTCTAGGTAGTGCTGATGTTTGGTGCTCTTTCGGCAATAACTTCCTTTTAGTAGTTGGATTGCATTTCAGTATGAACCTTTATTTGCTTCCGCATGAAATATTGGAATACTGCATCCATATTGTCACGAGTTTTATGGTTGGCGCAATATTTTTTTGGTTTCTTTTCCAATTACAGAGCTGTTTCTGCTAGTACTGAATTTCATATCACATTGATTCTGTAATCTGAATTATGTTTAAGGATTGTCACATCCAAGTCAGGAGTCTCGTGGAGAAATATGGTCTATAGACATTGACGCATTTGACATTTTTCATATAGCCTCTGCCCCATCATTAAGCTAGATTGTGCTCTAAAATTAGGCCCCTACCAAGTTATCAGCATTGGTCAAGTATAGTACAAACAAGAAAGGCCAAAAAGAGATGTGATGCTCGTTACAAATGTATATAGAGTAATTGCTGATTGCGATTTTTAGATAGTGGCTAACTGGCTATCGACAACCAATAGTCAAATTTTCACACAAATATTATTACTGCTCTCAGAAGAATTAGAAAAAAGGAAAAAGAAAAAAGAAGAAGAAAACAGGTAATATCAACCCATTGGCCCTTTATTTCACAAGTATAACACCATGACAGCCTCAAGAAAGAGGCCAAAATCTGAACCTGTAAAGCCACAAGATAAACTGGCTGTACAGATATATAATTAAAAACCCCTAAATACAATTAGCGAAATCATTGTCCATAATCAGCATAAACAAAAGTTACAAACTTTATCAAATAATATGGATTATTAATTAAGAAGAATTATATGTCATCGGTCACAGAAAGCTCCTGTTTAATTTGTGAAAGCAAGTGGAGAGATCTCTTCGCCTTGAAAGGGAGAGTTGGAAGAACACCATGCATCTTCTGTAATAAACTGCATCCATGAATCATCTTTTTCTTCTTCTTCCATACAGGAAGATGATGCTAATGGTACATCAGGCGATGGCGTTTCGTACTCATGAACATTAATGCTTTGGGTTAATGGGTATTCAAATGATGGTACACTACTAGGTTGGCCTAGCTCTTCTATTTCAGAACAAACACCATTTTTCTTGAATACACGACACAGTGCATACGAGTCCTGCTTACATAACAACAAACAAATAAAGAAACAAACAAGAATGTCAATTAGGTATATTGGTACGAGTTTAATTAACCTCTATACAACGATAATGTAAAAAAAAAGTTATACTACTATAATTTCATATAACTACAAGTAACCGTAACAAAAGTGATATTATTGTTATGTATGAGTTGTCATATCTAGGATCTTTATTCTTTTCAGAGAGAGAGAGAGAAGAAAAGATTTTCTGCTAAATGAGAACATCACAAGTACATTTGCTGACAACAAAAGATTTGAGTCATAGACTTTGTACTAGTCAATAATTGGGGCTGCTGAATTTAGATTTGATAAAAATAGCTACCTCCCTAGAAGAGATCCTAAAGAAGAGGGACAAATACTGAAAAAGGAAAGATCATTGCGCTTCTCTACTTCTATGTAAAACAAAGTATAGTTCACGGATTCTTCTTGTCCCTACTTCCCCCCCCCCCCCTACTATATATATATATAAAAATTAGAATTTGAGAGTACAATTTCACTTAACTTAAAATGCCATCAATGAAAAATGTGGTTACCCCAAGTGAAGTTGTTTATAGAGAATAACAAGTAAACCAACGGACAATAACAGAATGAAATCATTTTATTATTTAAGTTTTTTATACTCCATTTAAGGGAGTTATAAAAAATCTAGAAAGTTTGAACAAAAAGGGAAATTGATCAGTTCTATGGTTAAGGTCATTGTTCAATCTATACGTTGGGGTAGTGGCTAATAGTGAACATCCATTGGCTTATTCAAGTAAACTGGAATAAAGTGAAAAGCAACCGACACCTTAGCTTCTTACAAAAAATGAAAGTGAATAGAAGGGTGGCCCCCCTTTGCTTTTAGGTAAAGACCAAATGATAATGATTTCAATTTTTTGTGGAAGAATCTTTGATTATACTAGATCAGAGTGTTTTTTTAATCAATGATCATGAAAGATAGAGAGAAAAATCAACAAAAAAAAAAGTAAGTAGAGTACTGATGATTGGAGGCTATAACAGATTCAGTCTTATAGAAGGATGTTACTTTTGTCTTACTATCCAAAAGACAAAGTGAAACTATACACTTTTGTCACTCAAGTAACGAATATGTCAGCTAGCTATTTATTCATATAAAAATAAAATTATCATAAGGGAATCTTATCATATATTATATAATATAACACAAAATAGTAAAAAAGAGAAAAAGAATTAAAGAAGGAAAGAGAAAGTTAGTGTTAGTAAGATACAAAAGCCCTAGCTTTCCATGCAATTCCATGCAGTCCACGTTCCTCTATCTCTTTTACTATCTCCTTATCAAATTTTAAGTTGTAGTACTATCTTAGCTTATGATCTGAGAAAATGGTTTTTACACCCTTTCCCTTGCTTTCTTTGTATGAAAATAATTTTTTTCACTCTTTTGATGTTCTTTTACTTTAGTTTTTTTCTTGTGTTTTTGCCTTGCTTTCTCAGATAACTCTTGAGGTGGGGAGGATTAAATCAAAAGCCAGATAACATGTAGCACATGGTAAAGACATTTAGACATTTAATCTTCTTGCTTTTTATCCATCCTTTAACTGTAAAAAGTGAATTGATGAGACATATCGAGAGCTAATGCTTTTTTTTCAATTTTCCAGCAAATTACGGCTTACAAAAACCATGCTTTTAAAGTCAAATGCTGACACAGCACCTAAGTGATGTTAAAGAGTAATTAAAGAGAGGCCTCGTTGGTAATTTTTCGAAGAGATTAAAAGTTTTGAAATCGTAATTAACGCCTGAAAAAAGGTACTAAACAGGGAAGGATTGTAAAAGCTAAATGAAAAAAATAAAAATAAATGTAGATTAAATGATCAAGATCAAAATTTCCCATAACAAAAAAAAATGTTTCTTTCACCTGAATTTAAAAAACCAGAATTAGTAAAAATTTCGTACTTGCACAGTGTAAAATATATTTGCATGATCAATTCACTTGCATGTATCTCTAGAAAAACTAGTATTATTTGGTAATCTCATAAAAATGATAACTAATCTAATGTCACATTATATTATTGGTGTATACAGCTTAAATTCTAAGAGTAAGTTCTTTTTTAATTTTTTTTTCTTTGTTACAACATGCATTTCCAACTATTTGAAGGCTCCAAATATTAAAGCAGGAAAATCATCAATAGATTAAAAAAAATAAAGAAATGGTGCAGAAAATGCAGGAAAGTCAATAATAATGATGATGATGTACTTAAGGGGCCAAATCATAATGATCTAGCCAAGCAATCTTTCCAAACACACATGGTACATTCTGTTTTAATGATTACCTTTCTATTCTGAGTATATTAAGAAAAGCAGAAATATGCAAGAATGCTAGTTATTAATATGAATAAGAATCACAAAAATAAATAATTAAACAAATAGGAGAACCAATCATAAAAGAGAAAGAGTAATGATGATTTTTCATGAGTACGTGTTTGTGTGTATGTTGTTAGATCGAAATACAATAATAATTGTTAGTCTATGTTGTTCGGACTCTCTAAAATATTTGCCGCACCCGTATCAGATTCTTCGAAAATGCTTTATTTTAAAAAGACCCGACACGAATCGGACGACATTTTTAGGAGTCCGAGCAACATAGATTGCTGTAAACTAATTAAGATACCTGTTATATATGATCCCAATGATTAGGAATATTAATTGTAAATTGGAATCATAATACGAACTACCTGAATGCTGGAGATTTCGTCGCATTCTTTATCATCCAGTCGATATTCATGCATTACCCAATCAGTCCTAATTCCCTGAGGTGCTCTTCCCCTGTAGTAAACCAGTGTTTTCTTCATTCCAATTGCCCTATTCTGTGAACTTACTCTCCTATCTTTCCCTGTAGATTTCCAGTATCCAGCTCTTGTCGCTCTATTCGTTCTGAATCCATTTGGATATTTCCTGTCCCTTGGACCAAAGAAATACCATTCTGGATCCCTACTTGGCAAAAATGATTTCTCTGCAAAAAGAAAAAAATGTTCTTGATCTTTCTTTTTAACAATTGATGAAATGATTACATTGTCGAGAATGACATATTTGACGAATAATAAAAGGTCATGGTAGTCAAGTCAAGAAATTAAAGTGCAGCATTGAACTAATAATTAAACAAATCTATCGTTAATTAATTATATGCACTAAGCTCCCGCTATGCACGGATCCAGGGAAGGGTCGGACCACAAGGGTCTATTGTACGCAGTCTTACCATGCATTTCTGCAAGAGGCTGTTTTGGCTTGAACCCGTGACCTTCTAGTTACATGACAGCAACTTTACCAGTTACGCTAAGACTTCCCTTAATCGTTAATATTGCTTGTTAAGGACAAAAAAACTGATTGAAAATGGAGTGTAAGAGGAGGAAATCAAACCTGCTAATTCCCAAGGCTCACATTTGTAGAGATCAACTTCAGGAATAATATCAAGTTCAATTTCTTGACCATGAATTTTTCTCTTGAGATAATAGTTGACAAGCTCTTCATCAGTGGGATGGAACCTAAAACCAGGTGGTAGCCCAACGGGTGCCATTATCTCTTCAATTTCTCCGCCGCCGTCAGCCACTGCGACCACCGCGAGCCTCCCGGAGACTCCCTATTGAATGATCAGGGACTTTAGTTTGCTTTAGGATTAGTATCCATGATACAATAATGTAGTGTGTATATATATAAAAGGGATTCAAAGTCCTTTGTCTTTGATTTGTCATTTTTTTTTCTTCACTTTATCTCTTTTCCAGATTCTCATAAAACGTTTCTCTCAAGCACTACTAGTACTGTCTTCTTTCATACTACTGGTTGGTTAACACTACGTACTACTACTTCTTTAGTGGTTATTTCTGCAAAAACTAGCTCTTTTCACTAAAATATAAAAACTGCATGCGGCAGAGAGGCCAGTCAGCCACCCTTTGCTTTATCTCGTGATGTTTAATGCCTAACGCAAGGAGAAAACATGATAAGGTTATTCAAATCGGCTGTCTCTAATCATGTGCAAATTAATTAGTACAGCCTATAAAACTTTAAATCTAGAGTTTTTGTTTTTTCCTTTTTGGTTTGAGCTTCATTACTATTGTTAAATTAGTATAGTGATTACTGTATCATGTGCCGTAAAACGTGTTGGTATATCTTAAGACAAGTGAATTCGTGTATATATAGAGCAATATGTGAAGATAATTAATCAACTTGATTAATTCGGTTCAACCTACATATTGTGTATTAGGCACGTAAATATGTATGGCACATATAGCTTTTGCTCATACTATGTATTTTTGCCTAAAAAATTATTATATAT